CCCGGGATGGCAGCATGGGTTGTGCAGGGAGCAGGGCTGCAGGTAGGAGCTGTGGGTGAGGGGGTGACATGCATGGAAATAAGACATTCACCGCCTTCCTCATCAAGGACCAGAGCAGGCAGGAGGTATGTGTGTGTGTGTTATAAATGCAAAGCCAACAAACAAAAAGGGTTTATGTCTGTAGTTTAAAATATCCTACAATATTACTAAATAACGGTTATTGCATTGTCCTTGGCCAATGTGGTTGGTTAATCATTGGTCAAGAAATTCTTTATCAGTGCACTCCTAAAAATAAGACTTCTTCACTGCAGCCTTATGAATGCAAGGCTGTCAGCCTCCACTAGAAAAATCTGCAAAAATATTCCTTTATAAGGTCTCTCTCTCTCAATTTCAAGGGGCTCATATTCTTATAGCTGAACTTTGTATTGCTTTGCTGTAGAGGAAGAAACAATCCAAAATCTTTTTTGGAAATAAAAAAGGGTTTCTTTCCCTTCCTTGGGTTGGAGGACTGCTTATGTGTGGGAAACTATCATGCTGGACCTGATGTGATTAAATATAAGGTACACAAACTTTCCCCTGTTGTCCAGGATGTCTCTTGCATGATACAGATAGAAATGGGCACACCTGCCTCTAACTGTTTTCAAGGAATCAACTTTTTCTATTGTGTGGCAGAAGGGAAGGCGGTGGGAGAGGGGTGGTGGTGCGGGGGGCAGATCTACATAAGATATAAATGGTTCTATCAGTGTTTCTCTGAGAGGTATTTTAAGGTAGCATCTTTCAGATAACCATAGATTATCTGTCTGGCACTGAAAGATATAAGAAATTTGCCTACAAATTCCTGTAGCCTTCATGTGCCCCCAACCTAGTGTCAGTTTCCAGGGTTTGTGTTGCCATCAGATTTTCAGATAAGACTTATTTTTGAAAAAGGCTTTCTGAAAATTTAAAATAAAGATTAGGTGTATGGCTTGGTTTTGATTTAACTTTTTTCTTATATGATTTAATATTTCATAGTATTCCGACCTAACACTAATCTCATTTCTGATGATTGTGCATTAAAATTAATTGAGAAAATAAAATAAATGTGGACCATAACTAGAAAGATACTAGAACATGATGTGATTTAGTGGAAAATGAATGAATACAGAATGGAACAAATCTGTAGCTTTGGTGTGTGTGATCTCAGCTGTTTCTTAACTATCAAAAAGGAGGCTTAAGAGCATCAAAGCTTTTCTAATTTCTTAAAGAAAATTTTGAAACCTAAAGAATATTAGAAAAAGTACACATGAGGCACAACAAACCTCAAATTATGCATATAGAGTCCCAAAAGATGGAGACCTAGAGCAAACCATTATAATATAAAACTTAGTAAATTTATGTATTTTAAAAAAAATTAAGACCTGGTTAAGTCACTAATACAATTTTATTTCTTTTACAGGTGATTCCAATACAGTCTTACAGTGTAAAGAAGAATTCATTGAAATGAAAGATGTTTTTTCTGTAAAACTGAAACGTCGTCGTTTTGTAGGGCAGAAAAAAGGTGGCACATTATTAGGTATCACACTTTTTGTATGCCTGAAAAAAGAAGAAAATAAGCTCAAGGATTCTACTGTCAATTTTAATAATTTAAGTGAAGACCATTGCCATGAATGGTTTAGGTGTTTGAAGGAAATTCTGAATGGTAAGCAGTTATTTCAGAATCTCTGAATCATACTAGCTGTGAGTAATAATTATGCATATGCTAGCAACAGGTAGTGTTGAAAGTAACTTGGCTTTTAAAAGAAAATAATTATTGCCTAGTAAATAATGGTTACATGTTAGTAAGGGATTAATGCAGTTGTTGGAACTTTTTGTTTAATAAATACATTTATAAAATTGCTTATTCAGATTTACTATAAAATTTAAAAAGTCACAAGGCAACATTGAAATAGCAACTACTTTTAGGACATAAACATATTAAAATATGTTGTATAGAAATGTGAATTAGTGTTCCTTAAATGCCAGGGATATATTTAGGCAGGCAAGGTTCTTTGAGTAGATATGATATCTTTTATTGGACCAGCTGAGTAGCTGGAAAAGAGTTCTAGGCAAGCTTTCAGGTGCAGTCGCCCTTCTTCAGGCATAGGGGAAATCCAGCTCTTGGAGCTGGGCTAATTAATTTAATTAACTCAGCTCTTAGAGCTGGGCTAATTGAAGCGCGCCTGCTCCCTGAGCATATCTATAAATTCTTGATGACAACACAGTAGTATCCCTGATGATAGAAATAAAAGTGCCACATGAGGGAGAATGTTCAATCATGATGGAGGTAAAGAAATTAGAAGTTTCAGGTTTTGTACCCTAGGGCACCTTGAGATCCATTCAAGGGTGCCACACAATGTTTGGTGTGCAAACATTATTTACAAGATAAACCCAGGGGACATTTATACACATGCTCTGGGGGGTGGGGAGGGAGCGAGGGGCTTTAATTAAAGTGCTTGGAGTGCCTTGTGTATCAGCATTCCTGCACTTAAAAATGGCAGCAGTGTCACTTTATCTAAAGCTTGTCCAATATGTTTTTTGGGGACCTCCCAACTGAGAGAAACACAATCTTTAACACAGAAATAGGTAGGAAATCCAACAAAGGAGATGTTCTTTGGGTCTGTGTCCCGGCCCTAAAAAAGAAACAATCATATCAACACTCATTTCTTGTTCTTTTTCAGGACACTTTGCCTGGTCCCCTTCAAAATTTTCACAAATAGTAACTGAGTATGAGACTTCTTTTGTAGAAAGCAATCCTCTTTGTTATAGACTGCTAAACTGTGGCTTTAACCATATAGTCGCAAGGTTAATGTTGAGCTGTACTAGTAGTGGATCTAAAATTTTCTGTATTTTAATGTGACCTTTCTTTTAGTAAATTGTGATTCATGGCCTACTTTTCCTTCCATTTAGATTAATTACTGTAGAACTGAACTCTTACCAGTGAAAGCACAATGCTTGTATTACCATTTCTACTTTCAAAATGTATGTTTTTGAAACAGGAGTATTTCTTCTTGAAATTCCAAAGCATTTTCCTTAATATCTAAAGCTGCAAAAATGCCAAGATGCCTGCAGCTGTCAGAATGTCCATAAGGGCAAGAACACTTGAAGAGAAAACAAATGCTTGTGTTTTGCTTTGACAGTTCCCTATATATCCATTAGGAACTGTGATGCCATGTGTTCCCTGATGAAAGCTAGGTTATCCTTTACTTGGGTTGCTTTGGCTCAGCCAACAATAATTCCCCTGCGACTTTCCACTTGGTAATCTCTTGGACTCGAGCAAATCATTCTGTAGCTGTTTTCAGTTCTTCCTCAAAGAATATTTTCATATCCTTTGAGGAGCAAAATCTTCAGAGACAATAGCTCAATGATGGTCTCCCTACATAAATAGGAATCTAAAAGCAATAAATCTTTTCAAGATACAATCCTTAAGAAGCCGCTTGTATGATCCACTCAAGAGACTGACTGTATTTTAAAATTCAGGAGACAGTCTCTTATTTTGGTTTCAGTTGATGAAACTGGTATTTATAGCATTGATGGAACCAATCTATGCTCATTTAGCTGTTTTGCCATTTGTTACATTCTATAACGTTGATGATGAATCATTATTTTATACCAATAATCTTCTGAAATGATGAAAAAGGAAAATAAGGAAGAAGCAACCTTGGATACATTACGATATATTACCAAAATGACATAAATAAGCAGGACTCCTGAGAACAAAAAGGTGCGCACAAGCTTTCAGTAGGCGTGGTTGTAGGATCATACATTAGATCCTGTCCTGCCTTGTTGCTGGTGCAGGGGGAGCCCAATCCCAGGCTCCCCCTGCACCAACAAGAAGCAAGATACTTCATACACCTCCAGAGCTGCCGTGGTCTCCCAGCCCCAGTGGTTTCATGAACCCCTGCAACTGGGAGATCACAACCATGTCCTGTGGCTGCTAGGACCCAACTGGATCCTGGGAGATATGCCGCAGGGATCCAGTATCTGCAGCTGCAGGGTGTTGCCAAGACCCAGAGTTGGCAGCTGCTGTGGGCAAGAGTCCTCTCAGTTGTGGTACTCCCAGCTCTGTCTCGGTATGGTAGCTGACGGGGTTCCCAGCCACAGGGGAAGACCCTGGTACACATGCAAATTAAAGCTCAGTAGCAACCAGCTATAAAGTTAGTACACATTTTCAAGGTCTAACTTTATAGCTGGTTGGAAATTTTTATGGCATGACAGGTGCTTTCCATGTGTAGCTTGTCTCAAGGTAATTGCACACTTAACCAGTTAATTGCAGGATACCTGCAGTGTGTAGAGGGTGCCTTAGATATCTCTTGGTTGGAACTTTTAAAAAGTTTACCCTGAACATTGAGTTTTCATGGCCTTTTTCCTATAGCTTGTCATCAGAATGTTGTGAATGACATCTTTAAGCAAATAATCTGGTGAACATTTGAAACTTTTTTATGTTTATCTTACAAGGTTTTGCATACTTCAAAATATAAATTTTGTAGACATTTATTCTTTGGGTGTCTTTTTTTTTTTTAAAGCAAATCTTCAGTATACATTTCCCACTGAAATACGTTAAGTATGTAGGTAAAGTTTTCGGTGAAATATTGTATTATTTACATGGAACAGTTTTGCTTTTTTATTATTTTATTACTTGCAGCCTGGAGCAAATAAAAAAAAACAGGTAGGTTACCAAAGTAACTGTATATGTATTTATTAGCAGGTCTTGGTAAACATGTATTTTTATTGGTCGGACTGGCTAAATATTAATAAAAGATGTGTCTGCAATAGCTTAAAATAGATTTAATTATTATTTGGTAAACCTTACTATCTGGCAGAATGTTGAGACACAGAAACCTTGTTTTCTGGGAGAATTAAAGAGTAGCACTTTTCAAAGGGCATAGATGAGTCAACCTAGTTATACCTTAGAGAGTGCAGCCTATTCAGAAATAGAAAACAGTACAGCATTTTGCTCTAGGTTTGTATGTGTGCAGTGGTATGTTTTATTTTTTTTTACCAGATGCTTTTGTCATATTTTTACCTTTTCACCAAAACCCTCCTTTTGAGAAACAGCCTCTGTAGCTTCCAGTATAAGTTAATTACCTGTTCCTAGAGGTTCTTTCTACAAGTAGTGCAACTTTTGGAGAGCTTCAGTTTCATGTTTGTCTTTCGTTTAGTTTTGTATGACTCATATTGTAATAGGAGCTGATTCCCTGAATATAATTATTTAGAACTTTGGTTCATAGGGTATCTTTTCATGTTTTCTTTCACGTTTTCAGAGCAGAATATGTGCATGCATCATATTTCCCTTTTGAATCAAACAGCATTTTCAAGAGAATGACTTCTTGTTTTATTCAAAAATGTAAATGTGAGGAATTAAGGTTTACAATAAATAATATGTTATTCAAGAGAATATGATCTGTTCCACAAAATTACTATGTTTTATATTAAAATTTTTAGTATGAAATGACAAAAAATTAGCAATGCTCAGATATCAGATACTTTACATATGATTATAAATAGATATCATTTTTAACCATTTAGTGAAAGGACATAAAAATCTTTAACTCTTTGACAGGCAAGGTTCTTTGGTTAGATGTGATATCTTTTATTAGACCAACTGAGTAGTTGGAAAAAAGTTCTTAGCAAGCTTTGGGTACAGTCATCCTTCTTTGGGAGTTTACATCCAAGTTATTGTCTTTGGTGGGAATAATATAAAGATGTATCTAAAGAATAAAGGATGAAGTAGTTATTATAAGAAATTTTTGTGTGCTTTAAATTTTTGCGTGCTGCTTTGCAGCTTACCTCCCACACTGAGACTTAATATGAACATCTAAAGCTTCATGCATGAAGTTTTAATTATACCATTAATGTTAAACATTAACTTGGGTTAGTTCAACATTAACAGTGGTGTATCCATAGTTACCCTGACAAATCTGTTTCACATTATTAGTTTTTCTTATGTATAATATTCTTATTACGCTTGTTGTGTAAAATATTTCTGAATGTACACAACAGTGACATGAGTCCAACCTCTTAACTTTTGTAACATAAACCCACTGCCATAAAACTAAGTACTGAAAACAGCACAGATGTGTGTCTGAGGGTGGCGTCTCTCCTGCCCTAGAGTCTTTGTTTTCAGAACACCCTGATTAACCCCCACCCTTCATGGTTCATTGATTCACTGATAGATCAAGTTTAAACTAGTGTACATTAGCACATTTGTTAGTACCAGAGGAACAGTTGGCCATTCTGTTTTAGACTACTGGTTCATTTGAAATGGGGGAGCTGCAGTAAACAATATAACAGAATATCAGTTGAGAGAACAGTAAGGGGCTGAAGGACTCAAGTTGGCTGTGGATTATTAGTAAATCTGGTTTATCATATATTCTGGTAATAGGAGTTAAAATATATTAGTTTCAAGTTATTTTTAAAGATTTCTGTGTATAACTTATTTTTGTACAAAGTTTTTCATTAAAGGTTAAATCTCAAGTACATGCAAGATTTAGAAGTCAAAGCTGGTTATTTGTTTCATTTCATCAACACTTGCTGGGATTTGATAAATATTTAGCTTTTTTACTGTTCTCCTGGTCCAGTTTTACTGCCATGACTATCTTTGAGTTATTTGTAGGCATCTATTTAGTACAAGAAACATCACTTCAGCAATGTATATTTCTA